AGTGGTGAAGCTATTTTCTGAACTGATAACCATTTCAGATAGAGATAAATATCAAGAAGGCGTAAAGGTCAACAGCTGGCAACAGCTGGTTGTTGTTATGCTAAGTAAACTCAACTAGCCATTATCTACGAACGCTTCGATTGTATCGGCCATCTCATGCCGATATCGATAGCTGAGTGCGGGCCAATTGCATCATTTTTACAGGCCACCCGTCGCTGCTAACAAGCATATGCAAGGTAACAAACGAATTAATTTTGTGTTCGGACAACAGACCAAAGACTCTATATATTGTTCTCGTTGAGCTTTTGTTACAGATTATCAGTAGTACACACACAGTCAATATATATCTATTCAAAAACTACCCACACGGCGGGGTTGGAAAACCCAACCTTTGGAGGGGTCATGGCCGAAACTATTGATAAAAATCAGGCGATCTAACTACGCCGTTAAGCTAAGAATACTATAGATATGGGAGGGTAAGAGGCACTAGCTCAAGGTTGCCATACCGATTAGTTAACGTTACTGTTACCCATAGGAGTTTCGTATTATCTGTTATCGATTGTTTCAAAGCAGTTGAAACTCTGACATAGATTTCTTTCTTCTCATGTTGGTAACTTTTCTGCAAATTGCTTATTGATATCACCACATCGTTCCTTTACATGAACTATGTCTGTACGTTAATGATAGTGGTCGCCTAATCAAATTTTGTACGAATGATCACCTCTTTTCGATGTAGAGTCCAGTTGAACCCATAGTTATATTCTAAGCTTACTATCGACATGATGTATTATTTTACCGTATTTTTCTACCATTATTGCAGGTCCCATACACTTGTTTTTCGATACTTCTATGAACACTACATAGTATATACTATATATATTAGTCCAAACTTTGTTACGACTACAGCAAATTTTCGTTTAGTGTGACACATTCTACCTGACTACCTGACTACACGACACAGTGCTATAAAAATGGTGGGAAGAACAGGAGTCAGAAGTGTCTACAAGGAAAAAATGTTTAATCATTTGATAACTAGCTGGTGTGATTTTTGTTTGCAGCCGCTTCGAGTCGCACAACGATCCCAGACCTCATAAGCAATGGCCTCCGATTTTGCTCCATTCCTTCCTTGTACCGACAAATCGAATCAGAATCAGTTGTACGTGTCCTTCCTACCGGAGGACGATCACCTGCGCCGCCAGCAGCTCTCACTCAATGACCTTTAGGTAATTAAACATACAATAAGTATTCACCACCATAACCAACGATGTACTGGTATAACTTCCCAGAGTTTTCGTAAGCATCCTCGTGCAAAAGTTTGTCAAAACTAATCATACTTTAAACATGTTGAAAGAACCGACTGTTTGTTGTATGAGCGAATTCCGTTTGTGCACCTGCGCAGGTGACATACGCATCGACTTCTTAGCTTACTTCCATTCTATAGTTGTTCAGATTGCCCTTCGATGCATTGAACATATAGTATTGGCCTCAGCCAGGCCCCGCGCTACCAGTAAGGCCTATGGGGTAATAGTTATATTGCATGGCTTTAACAGTAGTATGAAATGTCGTGTGTTCCAGACAAATTCTCCCACAAAAAAATCCACAAAATTAGCTAGAAGGAACCACACGAGGTAGGAAAATGCTTAACATATTGCATAAGGTTCTAGTAATTTAACACGAAATATCGTTGTAAAAATAACTATACAAGAAAAACCATTACGTCCTTTCATCTGTGCCCGTAAATAAGTCTCGACCCTCTCGTTACAATTATATTGAACAGATACAATGCATTGCACTTCGGTGCATAATCTACAGTACTATGTATACATATAATAACATTCATATCGATTAACGAGGTCGGTTTGCCTGGAAGTCTGTGTATCTCATACCGTCAGCACCCCTGCGCCTTCTTTGTATCTATAGAATCCTACGACCGTCGTCGCCTCGAGCGGCCCTCGTCTTGACGACTATGAACTACGGCAGGTAAGCTGAGGCATTCATGCACAAGGCCAAAACTTCCGCTGTCATTGCGATTGCCCCCTAATCCACTTGGCATTGTTAGTCGACTGCAGGCGCCCTCTACTTAATTATCATCATCCAGATAGTCATAGAGCAGACATGGCCAGCAGTCACTTTGGACAGGCCATCATTAGCGGAATCAACAACCAGGCCACCAGCTCGTGGTAACATTTACCATGTCTATTAACAATCTATCCTATCCATCGGTAACATGTCTGCAAGACATGTAAGATTTGACGGTAAATTCGGTTCCAGTGTAGTCTGTTTATACTGATCTGATTATTACTTTATTCGTACCTAATTACCCCCCGATGACAAGGCCAAACAATGCGGCGGCTATTCTATTAGAGTAAGTCGCAGTTGTTGACTGTTTAAATTAGCCTTAGTCTAGCCATACTAACATACGTGTATATTTACGACCCGACAAAACAACGTTACTGTTCTATCTTGTCGCCCTAGCGAAGTATGCATAACTCTTTAAGGTTCAAATCTTGGAAACAACCAATTGAGAAATCTCTACACGATCTCGAGTTTGATTCGTCCCTTAGTACATTAGTTCGATGAAAAAAACAGATAACATTAGATATGCTTGGCTATCGAGTTTAGCTCACGAGGCTCGCACGTAGTGGGTAATCTTGGTTTAATCGCCGAGCGTTTATAGCGGGAAACCAATGCAGAGATTACTATTTTTTGCTGCCACTGTTCATAGCCAAGTTGGCATAGATCGCAACCTTTTCTAGGTAGTGTTAAGTTCTGTGAAAGGTTGTTATCTAGAGAAGTCAACAAGTTGAAGTCAACCCAAAAAATCGCAAGCAAAGAGACAGGCCACAAAAAAGGCTGAGACAATGGTTTGTTTTAAGGATCTAAGCTTGTTTTGCGTCTACTGCGCCGTGCTCCTTTTGACACTCTACCTAACAGGGAAGTGTAACTCTCTTGATTTAGGTATGGCTAGAGAATGGTAAAAACTCAGTCATGCTATGTTCTAAGGGCGAATATGTTAAAGGCGTTCCATCACAAACAATATGAGGCAAATGATTTAAGTTGTATTCATTGTCTAAACATCGTTTATTCGCAGTAAATTGCCCTGACGTTTCCTATTTCGACACTAACAGCGTATACACACAAGGTGGACTGGCGAAAAGGATTTTTTTTTTTTTTTGCACACTAACGTAGCCGCGAGCTCTAAGTCGACGAGTCATCTCCGCTGATCCCGTGCTTTAAACACTTAACTGATCCCCTTGCCCAGGCTTCATTGTCCTCCTACAACTCCCGTACGAAAGTAGTGCGCGCTTTGCGACCTCAGAGAAAGGTTAATGTAATAGTGTAGACAAACGCCTTTCAAAAAGGTCGACCTAACGGTGAACGATAACAAAGTTCGCTGAGGCACGCCACGTCTTCCGTTTGCATATACGCCGTTCTACTCTATTTTACTAAGCGATCGCTTCGTTCGAAGCTTGCTTTGTTTGCTCCTTTTGGGGACAGAGGACTGCCAAACTGACTACCGCGTTTGGGCGTTCAGCAGGTCGCGTAATGAAGCATTTTGTCTGAAGTTGACACCATCACATAACCAACGGCACAGTATGGTTATGTACAGTATCAGAGATGCGCTTCTGCCATCTGTCTGCTGACAGTCACATATGAACACGGGTCAGGTGCCGCTCATACGACGAAAAAATACATTTGGAACAAATACATTCTACTGAGCTGTATATGGGCATTCAAATGAGCCGAAATCCGACTCACTTTCAAGCAGAGACCCACCCTAGATTAACACCTGCTTTCTTAACTTGCTGTTTCCAACGACACTTGGTAAATCGAGTCAGAGATGCTCGAACAACGACGTGGAACAAACCATTCTGACGGCTCAGTAGCTTCGCTCTATGTTCGGCCCACGGAGTAGGCAATTGTCGCTTCAAATAATGCAACAGGCCGAGACCAGCACACTTCTTTTGTAACAGGAGAGTATGGCATAAGGCTTCGATATACCAATGGAACCTGAGGAAAAGCCTATATATAATAGTATTTAGCTATTTTTAGCGGTCGTAGGTAATCTCGTGCAACTGGATAACAAAGTGTCACAGATGATTATAGTAGACTGGGTCGGCATGAGGTTGTTCGAATACAAACGCAACCACGTACACAAGCACTTGAAAGTACAAGCCCTGTAAAAATGAATACAAAGAGTTATCATACTCTGGGGCGCTGAAGTTCCTCTCATCGTCTTCGTTATTGTCTGTCGTCGAGATCTACACCTTGAGACCGCCAACTCGCAAAAAGGTTAGCTGGCGTCACCTACCATGAACAAGAGCTGGTTTTGCTGAGAAGTTCCAAATCAAATGTAATTCAAAATGCCATGCCACGAGACTAGGAGTTATTTATAAAGGGATGCACACGTTTTTTTTTTTTTTTTTTTTTCGGAAAGCGACAGTGAAACAAGATTCGGAAACAATAACTGATTGAATTCGGCTGATTAACAAAAAAAACATTACATAAATGAGTAGAAAAATATTAAGTACACTAGTCATTCGTTGCACGAAATCACCCCGATCTGTTTATATTCTAACAGCATGTACTTAACATGTTCAAAATAAGGCCCTATTTCGCGTTAATATCGCTGCTAAAAATCGATAATATTAACGAAAAATAAAGAATTACTGATGTACTGCTCACACGTTCTCTTACGAACCATCGGCCTTTGTAGGACACATGAAATCAGGTACGTTCAGAACAAGTGGAAATTAACCAGACAATCGAAAATGCATACGATATCAACTATATATCAATTTATAATATTTACGGCTTCTTTTTCTCTCACTGTGACGCAAAAAGGCCCATGAACGAACTATTCAACAAAACAAACGCCTATGTAAGGCACTTCCTATTATACAAGAAAATTTAAAAAAAAGAAGAGCGTGTCAATAGCCAAAGATTTGAAGATACTTTTGGCCGATAGTCAAGATAAATAAGCCGATCTGCGTTCTTACCTTTAGTTGTACTACGTTGGACAGATTGAGACTGAGCGTGAGGCTTCTCTTTCTGATTCCGGACTCGGATGCGCTTCGGGCGATCGGGGCGGGCTCGGGGGGCCTGGCTAAACGATCGCCGAATACGCCTGCACCGATGCTGCCGCCTCCCCCACCTGCTGCTGTTGAGGCTGTCAATGCGTTGCCAGAGCATCCGACGATAGCCGTACCTACGCCCAACGAGCCGCCCTGAAGACCGCAGATTGTTGCACTCTCTTTTGCACAATTTCCACCACTGTTATGATAACTCCCACTGGCACCACTCGATCCAGCACAGGCCAGCGCTGCCTGAGATCCTGATACTGATGAGGCCCCTGACGATTTTGATGCGTGTAACACGGACGTCGATGGTGTGGGCGATGATAAAAAGATTCCCGCTGAGAGAGCTCCAGATGTTGCTGTCGTCTTCACCGTTTGCTGTATAGAAATCGTTGTAGGAGTCGAACTATTTACCCCTGATCCGACTGAACTACTTCCGGTCGCTGTTGTTGTGGCAGAGGAGATTGTTGCCAATGATGACGACGTTATGGACGATGCGGCCTCGCACCCTCCAGTGGCTTCTCGTTGATCATACATTGCTTTTGTAACGAGAAAAAAAGAAGTGCCACTGCGGCCGAATTGCATGAGATCAATTTACAGGCTAACGCACACTCATTGGAATTGCTACCGGAAGTCGACTTAATAAAAAGCCGATCGATCGTTTTTATTTAGGAGGATTAGGATGTTGCTGTTATCGATGTGGCCTGCAGTTACAGCTGATATTCGATGGTATTTTTGTTAATCTAATAATAATAATAATAAAAATTATTATCGGTACATCCGTTCTTTTCCTCCCTGCAAGACTTCGCTATGCTGCAATTACGAGTACTAGCCACTTGGTAGATTCTTGATTTCCTCTGCAGGTAAAGTTTGTTTCTTAATAATTTACATCAATTTCCTCGTGTTTATAACGCGAAGAGGTGGTCTGAGAGGTGAGTGTGTGTACATATGGCTTTCATTGATGAAATCTTAAAATCACTTCAGGATCGTCAGCCGCATGTATTGTCTTGCTTTCCCTATGTAAGTTTAGCAGTCTTTTGTCTCCATTGCACTGATTACGAGGACGATGTTGCGGGACACTGAACACAAACGACGTAGACGATACACGTAATGTTGTTCCGGGTCGACAAGCGATTGCACGACCGTTGCGCTAGGTGGTCTTTGGGTATCTGTTGGTGATTGATTCTTTTTTCTTTGTGAGTAAATTTAGGAAAAATGAGGTTTGATAATATTTCTCTTCACACGTTCGCCTTGTTAATCTTTTGTTTTCGTGTATAGCTAATGCGTGCTGGTCAGTGTGCTGTTGACGTGAGCAAGAGTCTACACTCTACCCACATATCACCGAACTCTTTCCCGAACAGAGCTGTTGGAACTATAATGACCGTCATCGTAAAAGTTGTCCATGTTGACCTCGGTGATGTTGCGCGTTCCGTGAAATTTAGTACAATGAATAGATAAAATTCCGGAAGGTGGAAGAGCCGTGGTCACAACACAAGCTGACGAGGCCATGGGGAAAGGTCTTCCCTCAATTGCATCTCGCTGCATGTGTCCAGGGAAAAGGATCAGCATTTTCTCTTCTGCTAATGGATATTTACTCAGTTGCGTTTTCTTAGTTTCGCTTGTGGCAAATCCAACAGACTCACCAGCTAACGCAGAATCGTATAAACGTAATGAATATCTGCGTACGCCGATTCACACTTTTAGGCGTCTGCTCATTACACTTGGTGGCTTCGTGGGCTGAGTTCCCCGTGGAAGGAAACTTCCGCTAATATGATGTGATACCCGCCTGGATAGACGCTAAACGTTGCACATACTTGCGGCGTTGACACGCAATACCGTCACGTTGACTAGTGAAATCGCCGTTTTTGCACATGGTGGTCAAGAATCAGCTGGTACCGCCACCAATAACAAACACAGATTGAAACCAAGCCAACGATTTTAGCACCGACATGCAACAAGCTGACACAGAAAGATGAAGTGGTGTCCACGGTTGAACCAAGGCTAATCCCAGAACTTCCCGCTACCTCCACCAAACCCTACTATCAGATGCAGAACAACGCCCTATCGTCAACAGCCGGCACCTCCAGTAACTGTAGCGTCCACTACCGTATAATAGTATCTGTACTCGCTTGGTAGATGCACGTCACGACTCATTCACGATGCAATCTATTCCCGAGTTCACCGCCACAAACATCATTTCCCCGCTACGTCTATCTTGCTATTGCAGTTCACTGCTAAAATTCACCATCGCTGATAGGCACCGAAAGCCATCTAAAAAGCAGATGCTGTTGTCGACCCCGCAGCTATTGGTTTCCAGTAGACGATTGACTGACCAAACACTAATTTATTTCGAACTTCCCGCTATGTTTTATGTTACAACTACAGAACTAATTATCGCTTGCTGGAACAGGAACTTGTTCTCGTCGCAGAGGAACAGTTCGTCGGAGACTGCCACCCACTATTCCTGCCGCCCCCTTACGTGTAACTTCGGTTGTCTTGGCACTCTCGCTTCTTCTGTAGCGCACACACGCCACTCGCCCGCCGCTAGCCGTATTAACTCATGCGTCCGGGGCTGCCATTACTGTTGTCTAAGTTGTTCTGCTGTCCACTCGCTGCTTGCCAACAGCACAAATCGGCAATGACATACGGCACAGCGGCCGTTCCGCGGGGCCACCCCAACGGAGCCTTCTGTGCGACTGAGCGTTCTGCTGACACGCTGACTGTCTGTTGCTGATACTATTCGAATGCTTTCTCGCCTGTCGCTTCTATGTATGTATGTATGTTACAACTGCTGGTGACGCTGATCGAGCGGCCACAGCCGCAGAGACTAATCGTTCGCGCTCCCTACTATTATCGCATTAGCTATCAGACAGACAGATGGACGGACGGACGGACGGACAGACAGACAGACAGACAGATAGACATACAGACGGACGGACGGACGGACGGACGGACGGACGAACGAACGAACGAACGAACGAACGAGCGAACGAACGAACAAACACACAAACAAACAAACAAACAGACAGACAGACAGACGGACGGATGGAAGGACGTGTAGATAGACAGGCAGGCAGGCAGACAGATGCAGGAATAGATAGATAGGCGCGTTGGTTCACGTTTCGTTTGGCCGCTGCCTCATTCCTTGGTTCGTTCTCGCTCGTTCCATGCGGCGGTGGCGATGGTAGCAGCAGCAGCAGCAACGGCGCCCTACTGCTGGCTATTCAGATACTCTCTCTCTCACAATTGTGCTGCCGCAGCCGATACTGCTTCGACTGTGTGACGTGTCTGTATGTTTATGTGTCTGCTTGCAGGAGGAGGATTCGTCGTCGTATCGGCCGCTGTCTACTGCTGCTGTTCCTGTTTTGTTCTTGCTGATTGCTCAGATCGTGTTCTTTTTCATAGCTCACGGCACAATCGCATTTTGGTTAGCGGTAATAAAGACGATGTAAAGGTTCGACGGCTATACGCAGTTAGTACGACGATAAAGAGAAACACTAGCTACGACGACGATGACGACGGCGGCGACAACGGCACCGCGGACTTAAGCTACCACTTCTCTCCGCCAGTCCATTTTTCTGTGCCAGACACGGCTGCAACGGTCCTATGAATAGGTGCCGCTGCGGTAACGGCAGCAGCCTCGGACACACACGAGAGGGAGAAGGAAACGTCTGCTATGACGCACCGCGGCGTAATTCGAAAAACGACGACGACGACACACGACGGTCGGCGAACTGATAAATACAGCCTGCTTGCGCAGCAGGGCCCTCAAACAAGCGGACATCACTTCGCATACGCCAGCACATTCGACTGACGGCGCCTGCAGACTACCCAATCGTTGCTGTCTCTTCTGGAGTTGGGGTTACTCTCACTGTGCTTGGTTGTTATTGACCGCCTTCACAGCCGCTGGGTCAGGGGTGGCTGTTGGTCTTCGTGCTGCTGCGTTGGGGTGTGTCGTCGATATTAGCGGCTCCAGTAAGATACTTTGCTGTTGTTGTTGTGTTCAATTGTTGAGTGTTGCACGAAGAACGAGCACAGGCAGTCAGCGTACGCCGCGGTTACTATTTTCTGAGTAGCAGCATTCTGCCAGGGGCCACAGTGTGGCAGTCAGTAGAAATCATCGCGGGCGTAACTGTTATCTGTGCCACTGGCGTTACTGCTATAAGGGACGGGCTCGACTGTTCTCCTTTATGGTTATCCGCGTTGATCATAGACGCAACAACAGTGGCAAGTATCCGAGACTATGATGGCTATGGTACTCGTCGCCAGCACTCAGCAACGTAAATTTCAATGGCAGCTGTAGCACAGAAGGCGAGAGAAAACGACAGAACGGCAGAAGCTTTCCGACGCATAGCCTTTCTGTTCGTTTAGCTTTGATCACGTACCACCGTCACCGAAGTTGCGGCTGATGACGCTGCCTCATGCAAAAACCTTAATAAAGATCAGCTTCATCAGAGCAGGAGGTAGAGGGAGAACAAAAAGACGCCATAATGCATTCGCATACATATTCATTTGTATGTTACGCAATCTGTGCCATTTAACAAACAGTTAATAAATACAACGATGACATACATATTCGTTGAGGTTCCGCGCTAGCCACAATAGATCTGTGGCTAGCGCGACCAACTGCCCAGAGTGTACGAGTCAGATTAGATTGATTTTTATTTCCGCCGAAATCAATTTATGGTACATCGGCAGCACAGCAACACAGTGACTTCTGTGAGATTAGGAACAACCACAATCATATGCGTGCTACATCATTGCTAATGGCTCATTAAGAAATGCTAATAAATAGCAACTGAAACAGCAGGTGGAACTTAACGCTGATCAGCTCATTCATAGCATAGTTTCTTTGATTCCTTTGTTTTCCACAAGGGCTCAGATTTGCCAGTGTCGATGTGGCTTTAATGAAGACGAAGTACTATTCTTTCATATAGTTCGTCATAAATTTAAGCCGCCGGCCGTTATTTCGAGACAATTTTTACGCAAGGCCCCGTTATCCGTCACTAGAACGCGCGCTTTGGACGAAAATGCTGACGTCCGTCAGGTTAACGAACGCTTCTCTGCCACATGAAGATATCGTATCGTCAGCGAACAACGAGCACACGTACTCCACCGCCATAAATGACATTTTCTTTACTGAACAACAGGCCTAGTAAACGAACCTGGGGGTAATTGCAGTTGCGATGGTATAGGGCATAGCTGTGCGAGAGATTCCTTTAGGCAGCGCCGCAGTCCGACCGCCGCTGGGGCAAGGGAGCTGCCCCGCAGGATTTCTACGGTAACGATTGGACAGTAGAACAGCCAGCTTCTTTTCATTGTACCGGTGATTTTCAGCTTAAATATTTAGCCACTTAACCAGTTAACAGACTTAACACATCTGCACAGCGGTATTTTCATGATTTGTTACTTGGCGCAGCTCTGCTACCGACGAGATGGTCAAAAGACCCGAGCGAGTAGTAAGAAATGTGCAACGAACCGGCCGAAAGCACCCGTGAGTGCTGGGGCCCAAGACGATAACGAAGTGGCGACTCGTTGTCGAGGCCATGGACCGCGCCTCTGGCTGTTCCGATAACCGCCTAAACTGGTGCAGTGTCTTACCGAAACAGACAGGTCCCAGGCTGCAGCTCTCGCCTGTCGCACAGCGCCAGATCAAAGAGCCGCCGGAGAGTGGGCACTCTTTTGAGCGAGTAGGAGCCAACCGTCGCAGACCCTAGCTGTAGTACGGCAAGAGAGGACCTAACTCAGGGTGGTGGGAAGGTTCTGGCGGCGGTGTTAGAAAGTCCGCCGAGTGCCAGATTGGTCCCGCCTTATTGCTGCCGACGGTGCACTGCATTGCTCCGTCGAAATCTGCTTTGGATACAAACGAGACACATGCACCTTCCGAATTTGAATTCGCTCGGTGGCGCCAAAGGGAGCGAAAGAGAGTGTGAGAGAGCGAAAAATTTTAAGGATCGGGGTAGGATCAGGCTCGACCTTCCGTTACAGCTACAGTCGGAAGAGGCAGGAACTGTTGTCAGACAGGGGGAAGAACAGGTAGGTTAACTCCTGGAGCTACTTATTCCAAATTCGAAGGTTTAGAAGCTCCAAGGGCTGTAAGGCAACGAGGATAAAAGGTGAAAGGTTAATGCAGCGAATCTGAAGAAAAGTTGCGCGCCCTTCCGAAGATATTAGTACCTAGTTCTCTAATTGGCGGACTGTAATTTAGATACCGTAACCAAACTGGAATACTAAATACATATGACATGGGGAAAAGTAATAAATATATGTGCGAAAATCGAAATACGCGAGCGTTCTGGCAGGAACATCATAAAACTAAGTTTGATTTAGATAACTATTGACTTATATGGTTCTACCGATCAAAGCATTGACTGAGCACTTTTGCTGTACAACTTAGTAATGATCAAATTATAGTGTAATGATATAGTAGGTAATGCTGTGCATTAAAAATAGCCTAACTTTAGGAGGATAACGTTCGAAACAGCCACTCAAAAAGGTTGAGCGCTTGTTTAGAATATTTGTTGCTTTTTTTTTTAATGTTGATGAGTAGGTATTAGAGTTTTGGTGCAATAGTATAAAGCAAATGATACGCAACACCGCTGTCCAATCTATGTTTCTAGAGATTCTTCTTATGGCTTACCTATGAATGATAATTAAACGTACATTATTTGCTAATATCAAGCTAAGGCATTATCGTAGGCGGGATATACAGAGAGCCATTGCACTGCACGCCCTCTGGGCAATATTTTTGTAACTATATAGCATTTTCAATTAAAATATAGCGAGGTTGTTATACGCTCCGTTAGACTGTAATAACGCAACTTTTCATTAACAAAATGACAGCAAGTAACTTATAGGCCAAAATGACACTAAAATCCTTACAACTTTTAGTAGAATAGGGATAGATGATCATTTAAATTCTTACTATTAACTTTGTCATCGCGGCACAGCCCGCTGCCGAGTCCAGCGAACCATATGGTTCGTAGAGGATCTGAAATAGTCTGCTTAAATTGGTAGTAGCTTGTCGGGTGTACGCGTGACGCATCATACGTTCGTATAGAAATAAGGTCCACCTTTCAACTAGCATGCCGCTCGTTTTTATTATTACTGGACACCGCAGGTAGAAGACGATTATGATTCTAAACAAAAACAACAACCGAATCTAGTGTGATTTCATGCCCGCAATATACACACTACTATATGGCGACTATTGTATCTTATCAAGCTTTCCCAATATAGGCGTGTTTCATTTCTTGTATCGCACCAAACGACATCCGAACGCTTTCAAAGGATGACGGCCCGATCGTCATCACCAATCTGCGTTGATCGTTGCAATAGGAAATTAATGATACTGGTGACGACGACAATGAGGCCAGAGGTTCTCTGCGTTTTCCAAAAAAAGTCGATCAGTTTTGTCCGCTTCGACCCCGCATTTTGGTGACGATCGACGCGTTCTCGGCTGTTAGTTGCTGGACACTCGAGTCGCAGTAAGCTGAAGAGCCCCACCCGACGGCGACAATGATGCCCTGCCAGTGTGAATGGGGATCATACTGCTTCTGGACAAAAAGAAGATCAGATACTACCGGCAATGTTCAAGACATCGCCGGCCATCACATCAAGCAGCCGGACCCATTTAGTCGCCTGCATGGTTTCTGTCTGTCAAACACAAAATTAGTCGGTCCGTCTCTCACGAAATGACGAAAATCGCCAGCGGTCCGGTAACCCCAGAAGGTGCCATCAAAAAAAAAGGTTGGCCCTCACTCTTTTACTTGACTACTGCATTACTGCTCAATCTACAGGTATGATTTAGAAAACGTTGCCTTTCTGCACTCACAATGCCCTCACGGTTATTCTGTCGTCATGCTATACCCTGGCGTCCCGATCACACACACCAGTCGTTCCTCACGAATCGTCCTATTACCGTGTGG